GACAATTGTCAGGCAGTGGGATCCCATAAACCAGTGGACAGGCAGAAACATCACTAGACTGCTGCAGCCTACAAGACATTATGTTAGAATGTATTTGCAAATCTACAGAAACATAGGAGAGATTTGTAGGTATTTCCAGGACACCCGCAAGATGTCTAAAGGAATGGCCAGGGCTATGAGGTTAACCTAAACAGAAAAGTATAAGAGGTGAGGACCTTCCATTCACTCTAAGTTCTTTGGGCCATCCTCTTTAACCCTACTATTTATCTCGCCTTGGTCTGCTTGTGGGCTCTGTATTTTTCTCACAGTAATAACAGAACCCATAGACTGAGTTGCCCAGGCAAATGTAGCTTCTTTACTTGCTTTGTGGACAGGATGCTCAGGAGAAGGTTGCAGTGTACTTCTGGTCATCACTGGCTATGGCGCAGAGCCTGTCTTTCCAGTGCATTCCTAAACTTGGGACTCCTTGTTTCCTTTTATTCCTTTAAGAACAAGAATGGTTTCATAAATAAATTCATAACTGTGAGTAGATCACTTGGAAACATTAAGAATAAATGTATAAGATGGGCCCAGTGGTACAAACCTGAAGTCCAGCAACTTGGAAGCCAAGGCAAGAGGATCACATGTTAAAGGTATTCTTGGCTAGAAAATGAGTTCAAGGCCAGCATGGGCAATTAGTGAAACTGCATCTCAAGATAAAAAATAAACAAAAAGGCTGAGGATACAGCTCAGAGGTAGAGTGCTTGCTCAGCATGTGTGAGGCCCTGGGCTCAATACCTAGGACCATAAATAAAGTTCATAACTGTGAGGAGATCACTTGGAAATTAAGAATAAACACATAAAAGCCTTAGAAGTTGTTTTCTGGGTCTTTGTTGGTTCATCTCCCCCCGGTTACAACACCTCTGATGATTGCTTAGGGTAGAAAAGAGGTAGTTTGATGAAGGTGAAATTTTATAGTGATTCACAAAGAGTTCTGTTTGTATGACAATTGTATTGCAACCGGCTCTGTATTCTCCTCAGTACCAGCTGTAGTTTCAGGCATCACTTACTCTGAAACTGATCATACACTCACTTTTCTAGCATGCTGTTCATCAACTACATTCTACAACATCTCATAGCATCCTAAGTTTTTGGTTTGTTCTAAATGTCTGTAGTTGTCTCTCCTATAGATTTCTGTTTCTACTGTAATCTATCTTTCTGAGACTGACAGAAAGGGTTTACATCATCTTAGACACACATAGTCCCAAGGTTAGTAACAGATGTTCTTCATGTAGAATTACTGTAAGTAGATTTATAGATCAATGCTATTGGAAAAGGTGGGAGTTGTCCTTTTGAGTTCTAGAATTTAAGAGCTTAGAACTTAGCTATGAAAATCTCTCAGGTTCTTCAACTTAAGAAAAATAATGAAAAGACAGTTGGCAGGGACTGATTCCACATAGCCTCCGAGGCGCTGCGTGGAAGTGGCTGTTCCAGATGGCCGGCATCAGATGCAGTATAACATTGATGTATGTCCCTGGAAGGAAAGTTCAGGATTCTTACCACTTGAGTACTTTCTAATAGTATGAGCAGCAGAGCGTGCTCACACCATCTGGGTGTTAAAATTCTGCCTTACATTCTCTTTCCCACAAGTAAACAAAGTATGTTTTATACATGGTTGGCAAGTATGTCCATGTGGTCTAGATCTTTACATCTGGATGAGATGCCACTGGGCATCTATGCTGTTTGCTTTTACCTCCAGGCTCTTAAGTTCATTTTAGTACCCAACATCACCCTTTAATTATCTTAATATAAAAACCAATATCCTCATTGCATGGTTGATAAATCCATGTTACACAAATGTGGGGACATGCATTTTCCCATTTCCATGCATTGTTTGTCTGTCATCTCAAATCCCCAGGTTTACTGTGAGGTTCTATGAAAGAGTGTGTTTATTTCCTAAGGCAAGAGCTGGTCTTGTTAAACTGACCACAACCTATTTTTAGTGAAATCCCCACCACACCAAATGCTGGTAACTTTTTTGCAGGAATTTGAAAGCAAATAAATAAATAAAGGGTAGAAATAGAATCCTGTTCTTTTATTAAATTTATAAAGCAAGATGACAAGGATTTCTGTAGTCTCGATAAAAAAATAAACATGCCTGGGTTTCAAATAACATATTATTCCAATGCAGCTGTGTTACACTGTCTAGAATTTTGAACCAAATCACCCATTAATCCACAGTTTTTTTTTACACAAGTGGTGCTTATTTAATCCAAGTACAACCTGTCCAAAATAATCCACAGTTTTAAAAGAAATGATTTTATATTGTTATCTTTCCCTAAGCATTCTACTCTCCCTCTTCAAATAGCATTAGAAAGAGAAAGGCCTTTTTCAAGATGTATTATTCTACCTTAGAATAAACACATACTTACCTATGCATGCATTTTTAGTAATAGCACAGAGGCTCAGTATCAAATATAGAAAATAATATAGTTCTTAAATATAGACTTCTAATCTAGTGCCTGTTTTGGATGGAAAAGAGTATAATGTTGGCCTTCAATTCCTTAGCAATTTTCCTGCCCTTCACAGTCAGAACAGTGTTTTAAGAGATCATATGAAAGACAGTATTGGCAGCAATCTCAATAATAAGGTAATAGTCAAAATAAAGTAAGTCCATAGAATATTCTAAGAACAGCTTAAAACATTCGACTGGATCCGTGTTCAGGACAGAATTTTAAAGTAGGTGTTGTTACTATTCTCATTTTATGGATGAAGAAACGGGAAGTGCTGTCTGCATCCATTCAAGCTGCTCTAACAAAATACCCTAGACTGGATGGTTTACATGACACAGAAATTGGTTATGGTACTAGAAGCTGGAAATCCAATATCAAGATGTCAGCAGATTCCATGTCTGGTGAAGATCTACTTCCTGGATCACAAATGGCAGGTTCTGTGTCCCCACAGGTGAAAGGGCCAAAGGAGCTCCCTTAGATGCAGACAGAGGTGCATCTCATGTTGATTATGAACTGCTTTTTGTTTTGTTATTTTCCTTCCCATTTGGAAGCTAAGCATAGCCTACTATGAAATGCCTTCCTAAACTTGGGCAACTTCCATTGTAAGCCTTTGCCCAAGGAAGAGAAAACTGAGCTTCCTTTTACATTGCTTCTAAAGAACACTTACCTATAACTATTTGGCGTATAAAGAAAGCTTATCAAATACAAATTATGGAGTTAACTGATCTTTGCTAGTGATTATGGAATTATCAGTTATTCTTTAAGCATGCTATTCTTTGCCTAAAATGTGGCTATTGTGGGCTTGTTGGGTGCTCCCCAACAAAGAAAAAAGGTATATTGTCAAATTTTGAACGGCAAGGTAATAATACTAGAACATCGGAGTTGGAGGTTAGTGCTTATATCAGAAGGAAAGAGGTTTTATGAATGGGATTGAGAGCTTTATCAAAGAGGCCCTGGGAGCTTCTTCACCTCTTCTACTGTGTGAGGACCCAAGAATGTATCATCTGTGGACCGGAGGACCCTCACTAAACACCCACATTGAGGCTCCCAGTCATATGAGAAGTAATTTCCTATTGTTTTTAAGCCATTCAGTCTGGGTTTTCTTGTTATAGCAACTAGTACAAGGGAAAACAATGGCTGTGAATAGTGATTTCTCATCCAGTCCTGCCTCAAACTCAGCCACAGTAGATATCTACATAGCGAGTCAAGCCTATTGCTATGACTTGTAAATCATATCCTAAGTATTTTTCTCAAAAAATCTTTTAAGGTTCTCTCATTTCATCCCTTCAGAAGAAAAAAAAAAATCAATGAAATAAGTGGATCACTTGTTTTTATACTAGAACTTAGAGAATGAGAGATGAGAAACTCATCAATCAATAATCCGCATTCTCATCAAAAATGACAAATTTCTTATCTCTCTAGAATATTTGCAGTTAAAGGGATAAGCTGGCTTTCAAGACTTCAAAATATAATGGAGTAAAAAGGAAATGGGGGCAGGTACTCTATATACTAGTATAATAGCACAATATGTGGGATTAAAACACATGGAATTTTCCTAGAGTTGAGTTTGGATGAAGCCAAGTGCTCCCAGAAAGATGTTGAAAGATGACAGAAAGATGTTGACAATTCGAAATAGGGGGTGGAAGACTTTTATCTCTAGATTCATAATTGGCTTCTTTTTCTCCATTCACTATACAATGGAGAATTTGGACTCAGTGCTAAATTACGACCAAGCACATCCTCCAAATGCATTTCATTCAATTAAATCTACCCCACATTCCTCAATATTGATAAATGCAACACTTATTTCCCAGAATACATCCCCATTGTTTTCCTTCAGAACACCTTACTGATTTATCATAGGGTGTTTATTATGGTTTGGGAGCCTAAGCATTGCCTCATAGCTCAGCCTCCATGGAACGTGTTTATGATTTGCTAATGTGTGCTGTGACCCCATCAGTCTGTTTGAAGTGGAGAGGGAGTGGCTGGGAGGGGAGGGAGTGTTTGGGGAGGGAGAGTCATTTGTTTGATGTGTTGGTGGAGGGAGGATGGGGAAGTGGGAAGGCTCACCCTGATGTTTGAACTCAGGGGAACTTTAAGGGTTCAGTTGGGGGGCATCTGGGGGATGGAATACAGTGCTAGAGTGAGTGGCTAGCATGTGTGAGGTCTTGGGGTTGAGTCCCAGGACCACACACCAGAAAATAAGGGTCCAGTTATGATCCTTACATAAAAAATCAGCAGAAGTAACTGGACTCTACTGACAAGTAGGTTCTAGTGGTAAATGCTTTATTTTCTTTCCTTCCTTCCTTCCTTCCTTCCTTCCTTCCTTCCTTCCTTCCTTCCTTTCTTTCTTTTCTTCCTTCTTTCTTTCCTTCCTTCCTTCCTTCCTTCCCTTACTCCCTCCCTCCCTCCCTCCCTCCCTTCCTTCCTTCTTTCCTTCCTTCCTCCTTCCTTTCTCTTTCTCTTTTTCTTTTTTCTTTCTTTTTTTCATTTCACGTTTTTTCTCAGGGGAAATCTCTCACATCCAAGAGGTTAACAAGTCTTGTTCAGTCTTACTAAAAGGATCATCTTTGTGGCGTGGAAGCTGACAGGAGTGCTGCATAACCTCTGTAGTTCGTGCTGTTACCTGGCGCCAAGGACATTAGACCAAGAAGTTGCATGGATGAAGGACCTGAATCGTTCCTTTTTTGTATGTGTTCATAAGGCATCTCCGTCACCAAGGACTCTTGGCCATCTCATTCCTCCATCTCAAACCACTGTCTGCTCTCTCCCTCCCCTTACTAAGCTGGATCTGTGTCTGTCCCTTTTTAACGAGTTCAAGTGAGGTACATTTTTTTTCCCTTTTCTCTCTCTTAAAGCTTCTGCTAGACACACAGTTCACTGAAAATTCAATCACAAACTGGAAGAATTGTAAAAGAAAAAAAAGCATATATCACTAAATATACACATGGCTTCACATTTATTAAACAATAAATTAGCAGAGAAAGTTCCATTTCACCAATATAGTCACAGTCTGTACCAAGCTCATGTCTGTCTGTCATCAGGGCATTCTCCCTTCATGTTTCTTGCATTTATTTTTATACCATATTTAAATAAGAAACACCTTTTACTCCAAATGTATCAAAGTTGACCTCTTCTCTGTAAATTTGTGTATGTTTATATCGTTGTTTTATCTTTCATTAAAAGATGCAGAATCTCTTTGCTTTGGTAACTTTTGTCTTTGGTGCTGTGACAGAAAGTGAAAGGAGCTGGGATCTTAGCTATTGTCTGAAAATGCATCTCCGGGTTCAATATCTAAAGTGATAAAGAACCAGAACCCACCATGGAAGCATTTCCCTGATGGGCTGACCTGGGACCAGGGAGATGGCTTATCTTCCATGGGAAAACACTATAAATCAGACTTCCACATTTTCAGACCTATTTGAATAGGACTTTCTGACTTGTTAGAAATTTGCATCTCTGGGACTGGAGAGATGGCTCAGGAGTTAAGAACACTGACTGTTCTTGCAGAAGACCTGGGTTTGAATCCCAGCACCCACATGGCAGCTAACAACTGTCCAGAACTCCAGTTCCAGGGGATCTGACAGCCTCTTCTGACCTCCGTGGGCATTACACGAGATGGGTGCACTTACCTACATGCAGACAATACACGCATACACATAGAATAAAAATAATAAAATATTTTTTAAAAAGAAATGTGCATCTCTATGCTTGGGCTAAAGCTAATGAATGTTTTATTCAGAATGAGGCTTGTGTATGACTTTCCAACTCAGGCACTGTTCCTGTTGGTTTATTTTTTGGGGAGGGTGTTTTTTTTTGGTTGGTTTGGTTTGCTTTTCTTTAAAGCACCGTTCTAAGAATGCCCAAGGTCAATGTTTCTTAGTTTTCCAGTAGCTATAGATTCCTTTTAAGAATCAGATGGAGGGCTGGAGAGATGGCTCAGTGATTAAGAGCACTGGCTGTTCTTACAAAAGACTCAGGTTTGAATCCTAGCACCCACACAGCAGCTAACAACCATCTGTAACTCCAGTTCCAGGGAATGACTCCTCTTTTGTCCTCTACAGGCACTACATGACATGGGTTCACTTATATACATGCAGGCATAACACACGCATAAAATAAATAAATATGTAAATAATATTTTAGTAAGAATCAAATGTAGCTGAGATTGGTAGCACATGCCTTTAATCCCAGCACTTGAGAGGCAGAGGCAGACAGAGCTCTGTGAGACTGAGGCCAGCCTGGCATATACAGCAAGTTCCAGGCCAGCTGGGGATATAGGGAAACCCTGTCTCAAACAACAACAACAAAGAATTCGATGCAATTGTTAGCATTTAGTGAGAACTTACTGTCACTACATTATTGACTTTTCTCATTATTGTGACAAAATACCAAACACTTTTGGGAGGAAGGGTTTATTTACACTTGTGGTTCAAAGGGATGCAGTTCATCAAGGTCAGGGAGACATGGCAACAGGATCAGGACATGAGTGAAGCTCATCATATGTTTTATAATCAGGAAGCAGAGAGTGGACAGGAAATGCAGTGGGACTATCAGACCTCAAGTCCCACCCCCAGTGACTCACTTCCTGCTTCAAGACTCTGACTCCTAAACAGCTCACAACCTTGCAAAACAACATCACTAGCTGGGGGCCATATCTTCAAATACATGAGTCTATGGAACCTATTTCACATTAGAACAACAGAATGGACTTTATATGCCCATGAAATCCTCTTTTTAAATCCTCACAGCAATTTCTGGGATTTTGAGACCACTGAAGAAAAGAGTTCAACAATTGGAAGTCCCACAGCCAAAAGAAAATTGAGATTAGAGAGGAGGAAAAATAATCTTTTCCTTTCCCTCTTCTAGGCTCTTGGTTGGGTCTCTAATGCAAGAGGACACAAAAGCACATGTTTGCCTAATAGAAGTCTTAATGTGCTAGGCAGTTTCATAAGGAAGTGACGACCTGAGAAAAACGGATACAGCTGAGTGGTTTTGCTGTGGGCTTCATAAAGAATGGAGGGTCAAAAATTCAACAGACCAAGAGACATGAGCCAAAGGTGGCAAAGTGGGGATATCAGGTCCTGATTGCTCTGCCTCCTCACCACATCCTCCCATCCTCAGAGCTAGGGGTGTGCTCCCTTGTGCAGAGACCCCATGTCTCATTGACGACCCTGTGAACTGATATTTGGGAACTCCAGAGAGTCTTTCCGACACCTGCTATTTCTAAATTCCTTCAGTTTAAAGTGCTCAACATGTCAGGGCCAATAAGATGGCCCATTGAGTAAATCTGACAATCTGAGTTCAATCCACAGAACCCACGTGGTAGAAGGAGAACCAACTCCCAAAAGTTATCCTGTGACTTCCACACACAGGCCATGGCACACCCTCTCCCAATAAATAAATGTTAAAAAACATTTTAAAGATATTCAACATACCCAACATCATGTCTTAAAGTAATGCATTCATATTGTCAACAGAATACGAATCCAGGAAGTCTAACTTCAGGGTTGGATATGCTACACATGTCTATGGATCCAACTCCCAAAAGTTATCCTGTGACTTCCACACACAGGCCATGGCACACCCTCTCCCAATAAATAAATGTTAAAAAACATTTTAAAGATATTCAACATACCCAACATCATGTCTTAAAGTAATGCATTCATATTGTCAACAGAATACGAATCCAGGAAGTCTAACTTCAGGGTTGGATATGCTACACATGTCTATGGATTAAATAAAAATAAAAATAAATAAATAAATAAATAAATGAATAATAAACAAACTATGGGGCAATCCATATTTCACAGAGGAAATGTTAACTCAGGTAAGAAACTTGATCCAGATAAGAAATTTGACACAGGGAAGAAACTTGATACATTTCAAGGATTGGATGATGCAAAGGTTGTTCAACTAGAAGGTGAGCTGTCTTCTTTACTTTTATCTATGCCAAGGTATAGCAAACTCTGGCTACTAAAGAGAGAGAAAAAAAGAGAGAGAGGGAGGGACGGAGGAAGAGAAAGAGAGGGAGAGAGAGAGGGAGAGAGAGAGAGGAGAGAACCAGGCTATGTAAGCCTTACTAATTATGTAGATAAATTTAAATTCTGAAAACCTTACCAACATCAGTGAGAAATCAGTGGTGGAGATTACTACTTAATAAAGCCATCACAAAATGGGAGAGAGAGACTTGGTAGTAGAAATTTGCATATAGGCTATAATCTAAACAGTGTGAAGAGTTGAAAGATTTAATTATATGCTTATTTGGTTTTTTGGAAATACATAAAATACAAATTACACTAATAGGCTATTCAAAACAATGAGATATCCCACGTGGAAATTTGGAATGAAATTCTAGTTAACAAAATTATTGTTTAAAAGCATAGGATACCCTATTAGAATATGGTGTGTAAAGAATGTGCTTTGTACAGATGATGGGTGATTTCAGTGACAGTCTTTCACAGTTTGCCACTGCTTATAAATTATCTTTGTTTACAATTCAAAATCATAGATTCAGGCAGAAAAGAAAAGCAAATAATGGCAAAAGAAAGCAGAAAATGGTGAAAACCTACACCAGGAATTAGTAAAACAATAACTACACGGCCACAGAGATGGCCCAGTGGGTGAATCAGCTTGTGGTGTAAGCCTGGTGACTTGAGTTCAATCCTTGGAACCCATGTAAAAATGGACAGACAGAATGAGCTCCACAAAGTTGTGCTCTGGTCTCTATGTATGCATTGCAGCGCACACCTCTATGAGTGCACACAGACAATAATAATACACTTTATTTTTTAAATTTAGAAAGCTACTTAAGTAAAGGCAAGAGTAATTAGCATTACAAGTTCTAGACAGGGAACTAGAAAAAGTCAGAACATGGCAATTTTCAAATGTTCATATGAGAGTCCATTGGAGTTTCTTGACAAGGGCTTCCAAAAGCATTCCTCTATTGGGTTCTTCTTCATTTTTCTTTTGTCTTCCAAGGCTGGACTAGTTGGCTGGGAAGAGTGGCTGAGTACTCAGGTAAAGGTCCAGTGACCCTGCTTGACACTCCTTTAATGAATGAGCACAACCGTCAACAAGCCCAATTGTGCCTATGTATTTTTAACTTCATTTTCAAAAAGGTCATTAGTAGCTGAGTGTACACAAATACAGCGTGATTAATAAACTGACTCATAAATCTTAATGTCTTTATTAGGTTATAAGACCTTAATCATGTCATACTTGTTTGTAAATCCAATAAATCAGAGCATGTTTAATATATTTTAAAGGTTAATAGCATCTTACTTCAGTATTAGTTAAAAGGATTAAGATACTATATGTAAATCACCAAGCACAGTGCTTGTACATAACTGGTAAAAAAATAACGTTTATCTTATCCTCTTCTCTTTCTTTTTCTTGAAAAAAAATCATCTTTTTAAAAAGACAAATAAGTATCCTCACATTCCCTCCTAGTCCTGACGGAGTCAGGGATGGAGCACAGGAAAGATGAAACTGAAGAGAAAGCCCAGATATCTGAGATCCTGGGAAAGGCCAGGAGTGCAGACAGCTGTGATGGAGGACCAGGGGACAGTCAGACTATCAATAAAGTAGTGAGGCTGAAGCGGTGACCAAAGGGAAATTCTGAGAAGGGGGAAGTTAACTGTGTCCTGGAAGAACAGATTCTGGAAGCTAAATCTTGAGAAACAGCCTTTTCCAAAGGCATCGGCGTCCACACAAGTGCTTTGATTGGCAGCCTACAGGGGCTTTGCCAGGATTCACTATGAAAGCAGATGATAGTGTAAGCTGATGGATATAGTTACTTGTTATTCATGACACTGGGGATGTGGGATCCATTTTGCAGGTTCTTGGTCTTGGAGATAAAAAATTTTAAAGGGGCTGGATAGATGGCTTGGCTGTTAAGTGTATGTGTACTGCTGTTGCAGAGGACTCAAGTTTAGTTCTGAATACCCATGTTGGGCACCTATCTCACAACCACCTGTAACACCAGTTCAAGGGGCACCTCGGGCACCTGTACTCACGCATGCACAATCTCATTAGACAACACATACATATAAACATAATTTAAAAACAAATAAATCTTAAGAGCCAGTACTTGGGAGGCAGTGACAGGAGGATGTCTATGAGATTGAGGCCAGCCTGGTCTACACTGGTGCTGCACTTTCATGCACAAAGCTTTATACCAATACACACATGTACAC